TACAGTGATGAGACGAGAGATGAGGACTTACAATGATGGAAGTTTCTAGTGGCCATAGCATCCCATGGAGATTGTTGAGACAGATGGAACATTGGGAGTCAATTTATTTTTACTCCATATTTAATGTTACTTTGACACAGTGCTTTGGCATCATCATGTTAAAAACGTAGAATCTTCAACAGGCTGGTGTCAGGGGAACATTACGTTATGTTCGAGAAGAAAGAGAAAGGGTATGACTGGGAGGAAAGTTTTGGTCTGGAATTTTCATTTTTGAGACACCATCACCATTCACATCTAAACATACTGGAAATTCAAATTCTGCACCCACTTTGCTGTGCACTGATAGCAGGAGATGGCAGCAAGTGAAACAGTACTGGTGGAAAATATGTGAGGAAGATAGATCGAGGGGGGAGTGGTGAGAGAGGAGCAGAAAAGAAAAAGAGAAGGAGAGGAACACACGGGGGGCAAAAAAGGATGGATGGAGGCAAGGAGATGGAGAGAGGAGCAGAGGTTTCTCAATGCGTCTCATTACTAATGGAAGTAATGGTGTTTCATTCATTGTCAAGCAAATATTTAGTTAAATTTGAGTATTTCTCTCAGACGCCTCTTCATCTCACCCTTACTCTTACTCCCCCATCCCCCCCAGCTCTGTCGCTGTCCCTCCTCTTTCCACCATGTGCAGTCAGGGCATCTGCGTGTAAGTGGTTTAGCCGGAGAGTAGAGTTGGAGAGACGTCTACTGGTGAAATGTGGTAATGTCAGTGTGTACCGTGATGAAAAAAACAACATGCAAGCAATGAGAGGGTTCATTTCATAAACATGTCATCAATAAGACTGTACTTTTTTTTTTTTGCTTTGAAATTGTGTCTCACAGTTCTTTTTATATTCTTCAAACTGAAAAGGAAAAAGGAAACAGCAACATATAAATTCCAATTCATCAGTGAATGGGATAAACATTCTTTACTATATATTATAAAAATAGAAATAAACAAAAGCAGTACACAAGATCAAAGTAGTTTGGCTGTTCAAATGTGTTCTAATGTTAAATTCAGCGGGACAGAAGGATTGTCTTGCAGTATAAGGGTATGTGTTCCACAGCTGATCTCTCCAACATGGAGAATTCAGTAAAACATTTACACGTCTGGTTAATCTGCATTGATCACTAAATTCGTCTGATAGGACTCTATTAAATGATTTACACACAAAATCAGGCCGATGCATACACCTCGATAAAATGACATATACATACAAAAAACATGCATCTACAATCTAGGCAGCAGATACAGATGACTACAACTCAGCTTTTATTTTGATAGTCTTACCATAAAGTTTAATGTTGGTGCATGCTGTTTTATCAACTGTCGTGTCACCATGAAAATCTTATCTTTTTCCATAACTGCTTGTTGTGCTCCTTTAAATGTGGTTCAGTCCAAATGTGGAT